CCACATCTGGTGAAATAAGAGCCTTGCTGTGAAAAGTCCAGTCGGGAACACCGCAGACATCGCCCCAGACCTGCAGCCCCTCCCCTGGAGGCTTGTTGGGAATGCAGAGTCCCAGGCCCCGCCCCTCAGCCCCAGCAGGATCAGGATCCACATGTTGGGCAGGATGCCCAGCTGGGCACATGCGCATTCTGTGACGAGACTCCATCTTAGCCAACTGGAGCAGGAGAGTCTGCTGCTGGCCCTGGGTGAGCTGTCTAGAGGGGGGCCGCGTGGTGCGGAACTGCGGGCGGCATCTGGAGCTGAGCAAGTCAACGGGAATGACAACCACCTGGGCCTGGAAGAGGGTCTGGCATTCTGAATGCCACCTGGCTGACCCCTTGATTGCAGCTTCGTGAGACTAAGAAGAGAACCCAGTGACTCGCTGAGCTCCAGGTACTGACCCAGGGAAACCGTGAGACAGTAAACCTGTTTCAGGCCACTGAGTTTGGTGTACGTGGTTACGCAGTAGCAACTAGCTGATACAATGGTAGCTGGTGGTGTTCTCACTCTCGGCATCCGTGTTTTTCTCTAGACTTTGCTCTCCTCCCCTTGCAAAGTTACTGCTGTGCCTTCCAGCTCCCCCTTGACGTCTCCTTACAGTGCAAAGTGCCTCCGTATAGGTGTTCTAGGGAAGGGTCCTAAATCGGACGTGGGGGAGTTTTCAGGGCACACGCGGGGCCCAGAGATGCTGCTCAGGGCCACCTCCTGCATGCTTGGGGAGGAGGAGGTTTTGACACAGGAATGTCAGCCTCCAGGTTTTCCTGCCGGCCAGGGGAAGGATGGGGGCAAGAATTGGGCTTCAGTGAATTTGTAGAGTCTAAAAACTCGGTGTTTCTTGGACACTGTTATTGCAGGGCTGGGGCTCACCCCGCTACCCATCCATGGTATCATGTGAGCCTCACAGCTCTGTTTCACAGAATTGCCACCGCCCCTACCCACATTTTACCTATAAAGGAGTTGGGGCCCAGAGAGTTCAGGTGATTCACCCAGGGCCACACAGCACAAACCCCCTTTTGTTAGGGTTAGAGCACTGTCTCCTAATCCAGGGTTTCCCAAAAGGTGGGACTCCCACTGTGATTTGGGGGTTGATGGAAAGACCACCTTTTCCAGCTCATTTGGGGTTCCACTGAAGACAGGAGAAAGTCCTTCAGGTGCTAACGGGTCTTTCACACCTCTAATGCTTGCTGATGGGCCTTCTGAACCAAGAGCAAGAGTGTCAGAGTCCAATTTAAACCTCCTAAAAAATAGGGTTTTCACCGCATATCTAATAAACCTCATTCCTTTTTAAGGCAACAATGTAGATTTGCCTTTATGATTAAATTTTTTAAGGTTTTATTTATTTATTTGTCAGAGAGAGCAAGCGCACAAGCAGGGGAAGCAGCAGAGGGAGAAGCAGGGTCCCTGCTGAGCAGGGAGCCTGATGTGGGGCTCAATCCCAGGACCCTGGGATCGTGACCCGAGCCGAAGGCAGACACTTAACTGATTGAGCCAGCCAGGCATCCCAGCCTTTAAGATCAATTTATTTAAGTTTATTTTGTTTTGTATTTAAAGAGCTGATTGAGGGACCCCTGTGTGGCTCAGTCTGTTGAACATCCGACTCCTGGTTTCGATTCAGATCATGATCTCAGGGTTGTGAGATGGAGCCCCATGTCGGGCTCCACGCTCAGCGCAGAGTCTGCTTGAGGTTCTCTCTCTCCCTCCCTCTGCCCTCCCTGTGCTCACAAGTGCGCTCACGCTCTCTCTAAATAATAAATAAATAAATAAATAAATAAATAAATAAATAAATAAATAAAATATTTTTAAAAAAAAGAGCTGATTTGCAGGGACTCGAACAGATACTTGCATGCCCATGCTCCCTGCAGCCCAAGCGTCTACAATGTGTCCATCCTTGTGGTGGAAGATGACACGGGCTACAGTGTGCATGGGCCTTGAGGACGGGAGAGCCAAGTGATTTGCTGGAAGCCTCCCACCCGGACTCTCCAACGGGCTCTGCTCCCACCCTCTGCTTCTTCAGTAATGTCCCAGCTGGCGGGACCCCTGCCATGATGCCAATTGTGACCGGGTTTCCCCCCCACCACCCCCGGCTGGAAACAACTCAGAGAAGCGGCCTCATGGGCTCCAAATGCTTCCAGATGCACAGGCTGTTTTCCCTGCCCTGCCCCCACCCCTGCTGTGGCTGAGGTGCTCCAGCTCGGTCAGGGAATGAACTCCAGAGCTGAGTACCGCTCAGAAGGTGGAATGCTGAGTTTAAGCTCCGCAAGTCCAGACGGGAGCTGGACTCGGCTCTCTCCAGCCCCTTCCCCTCCACCCCCCAGTTCATTTTGGGCAGAAGCAAGAGGCTAAGGAAAGTGCATCTTTAGCTCACAGGGTGCCTGCTGGGTTTAATTTTTGTCCTTTTTACCGACTCTCCTGACACATCAGAGACCCACAGGGCTTCAGGCACGGTCCTCCGGTCTCCATGGAGACAGAAGCTGTCTCCAGCCCTGCTCCACCAGCCCATCCTGCGGCTGAGCCGAGAACCAGGGACCAGGCAGGGCCAAGGGGTGGGATGCCGTAGGAGGACTCCTGACCACCCCCAACCCCTGCTTCTCAGCCAACCCTGATGTCCTGCGCCTGTCTGTGGTTGCACACGTGGCTGCTGGTAATAGTCATGATAATAGCCATTTATTGAGTGCTAAGAATGTCCCAGGCACTATACTAAGCCTCACCAATTAGCTCACTGAACAGGGACGTCCCCCTGTTCACTCTTTGATGTCACTTGACAATTAAGGAAACCGAGGCTTAGCCACCTGTAGCGTGAGGAAGATGGTGTGGGATCGTGGGAAGTGTGTGAGCTCCAGAGTCAGCTGGCTGGGTTCAAATCCCAGCACTCTTTCTGTGTGACTTGACCTCTCTGAGCCTCAGTTTCCCCCTCTATAGAGGGGGTATAGAAACAGTACGCCCCTCTTACAGCTGGTTGCTTTGAGGATTGTGCTGGGAGGGACCAGGGTGAGCTCACCTGGGGAGAAAGTTTAAGGGGGTGCCAAAAACCCAGTCATCAAGACAAAGATTATTTTAATGCAATTTTAAAAAGTCAACACTGATGACCAACAAATCCATAACGAACAAAATGTCAACACTTTAAATAGAATCAGTATTCCTGAGGTTCCCTTTTGGCTCAGCGTGGCATTGTTACTGGTCCTGTCTTTGTTTTAAAACAGAATTTTTAATTTAAAATAAAAATAAAACAAATTAAAAATTAAAATCAGGATCAGTAACAGTGCCATGCTGAGCCAATGGGAAAACTCAGTAATACTAATTCTGTGCTTATTTAAAATTTTGATATCTTGTTCATTGTAATTTTTTGCATTTTGATCTTTTAAATATCAGAGTTTTTATTTATTTTTTTTGGAAGTTTTTTTTTTAAAGATTTATGTATTCACTCCAGAGAGAGTGCTCACGAGCAGGGTGAGGGGCAGAGGGAGAGAGAATCTCAAGCCGACTCCATGCTGAGCAAGGAGCCCAACATGGGTCTCAATCCCAGGACCCTGAGATCATGACCTGAGCCAAAATCAAGAGTCAGATGCTTAACTGACTGAGCCACCCAGCCACCCCTGCATTAAGTGTTTTTTTTTTTTTTAAGTTTATTTAAGTAATCTCTACCCCTAACATGGGGCTTGATCTCATGACCCCGAGATCAAGAGTCCCATGCTCCAGCGACCGAACATAGTCTGTCAGAATCTGTTTATTTGCACCTACCCAGGGGGTTGTTGTGTGGATTGAATGAGTTCTTACATGTTGAGTGTCCAGCACAGAGCCTGGCACCTGGAAAGAGCTATGTGGTTTATTAATAAACAAGTAAATATATAGCATATTAGAGTTAAGTTAAAAGGGTATGCATGCCATGGAGGAAAAAGCAAGCCAGAGAAAGGAGATGATAATGGCTGAATGATTTTAGAGAAGATGGAGAGAGAAAGTGATGAGGATCCAATGAGTGAGTCAGCCATGCACCATCTGGGAGATGGCATTCCAGGCAAAGGGCACAGCCCGTGCAAAGGCCCTGAGGCAGACCCTGCCTGCCGTGCTGGAGGAACAGAGACCTGTGTGGCTGGGGCAGAGCAGGTGAGCGAGAGAGACAGAGGGGGCGAGGGGGCAGGTCCTACAGGGCCTTGTGGGCTTTAATTTGGGGACATCTTTGGAGAGTTTTAAGGCAGGGTGACATGATACTCTTAGAGCAGTTGGACCAAATGTGTCAATATACTTTGAAATATTTTGAATAGTATGTGCACACAGCAAGTGTGAGAAAAAATGTTACTTCTGGTTGCTGCTGATAAAAGCACAGTGGTTGCTATTTCTTTGTTTTCTGTTTTTGTTTTGTGTGTGTGTGCGGCTCAAGGGTTTTGCTGCTGAAACCCCGGACGATGGTTATTTCTATTCAATAAGTTATAAACTTAAAAGTACTGAGCACAGTGCCTGGCACATGGTTATCAAAGTGTTCCTTTTTGGGTTTTTGTCGCTGATATTATTATTAGTACTACTACTACTATTATTGACCTAGAGGCTTAAAAGTGCCAAGGACAGCCCGGTCAACGCCAAGTAGGCACCCTATAGAAATGTGCGCCACTTCTAGTGTATTTTCCTGTCGTTAGCAGCGGGAAGAGCGGGTGCCCCCTGGAAGCCAGGTCTGCCCTGCCCTCAGGCTGGCGCTCCCCCGGTCAGGAGGCGCGGCTGCGGGCCCGCCGGCCTCGGTTTCCCCGCCGGCGCTGGGCGCCGGGACTCGGGACACGGGGGGGCGCCGCGGCGGCCAGGCACGCTCCGGCCGCCAGGGGCCGCTGCGGAGCCACCCTTTTGTGGTCCTGATGCTGGAGCGAGCGGGCGCGCGGAGGAGGGAGGAGGGCGCGGGGACGGGGCGGGAGGGAGGCGGGAGGCGGCGTCCGTCGCTCCAGCTGCGAGTCCGCCCGCCGCCCGCCGCCCTCCGCCGCCGCCGCCGCCGCCGCCGGCCCGCCATGGCCCGCCTGACAGAGAGCGAGGCGCGCCGGCAGCAGCAGCAGCTCCTGCAGACGCGGCCCTCGCCCGTGGGCAGCAGCGGGCCCGAGCCCCCCGGGGGGCAGCCCGACGGCATGAAGGACCTGGACGCCATCAAGCTCTTCGTGGGCCAGATCCCGCGCAACCTGGACGAGAAGGACCTCAAGCCGCTCTTCGAGCAGTTCGGCCGCATCTACGAGCTCACGGTGCTCAAAGACCCCTACACGGGCATGCACAAAGGTGGGCGCCCCGGCCCCCTCCCTCCCCTCCCCTCCCCTCCGTCGGCCTCCCCCCCCCACCTTCCGGCATCTTCTCTCCCCCAGCCCTCCTCTCCTCACCTCCTCCCTCTGCTCGCCTCTGCCACAGCATCATTTCTCCCCCCCCTTTCCCACCCACCCCTCCTCCCCCCTCTGGGGGTGCAGCTGACAGATTCGAGCTGGCCCCCTCCCCTCCTCCGCCCCCTCTCCCTCCCTCCCTCCCTCCCCACCTTCCGGCATCCTCTCTCCCTCTCCCTCTCTCTTTCCTTTTCTCTCCTCTCCCATCTCCCTCTACCTCCCATCCTCTCCCCCCCCCAACATCCTTCTCTCTCTCTGCCTCTCCCTCCCATTCCCCCTGGACCCCCACCCCTTCCTCCCTCCCTCACCCACTCTTTCCTGCCCCTTTGCTGGGGGAGCTGCCTGAACATCACCCCCCCTCCCCGCCCCCCCCATTCATTCGGCCTCCCCAGGCCCCGTCGGGGAAGTTTGCACCTCTGGACTCCATTGCTTTGGTCATTTTCACAAAGCCAGGCCAGCGGGGCAGGTCCGGCCAGCCGCAGGGGACACGGATGCCCAGGACCCCGGGCTAATCGGTAACTACAAAGAAAGCGGGGTGGGGGTATCAGGGAGCTGAGCCAGGCTGGGGGGGGTGGCGCCAGCCTCCCCAGCCTTGGGTGGCTAAAAGGCTATGGTTTGCCCTCCCCCCCACCGCCCATCCTCTCTGTTTGGATCAGCGTCCCCCCTCCATTTCTCTGCCCTCCCCCTCCCTGCCTCCACCTTTGGCTCAAGTTAAAACTGGCCTAGCCTGTTAGCAATGTGTTGAGGTCTGAGGCCAAAGACGATGAGCCTGGACTGTCCATCTGGCAGAGCCCAGATCCCAGGGTGGACAGGGAGGCGTGGGCGACCTGGGAGCCCAGTGTGGGAGGCAGGAGGAGTGGGGAGCCCTGCCCACCTCCCTCCCACCTGATTCTCTCTCTGATGGGATGCTGGGAGGAGGTGCCGAGGGGCTGTGGCCCCAGCCCTGGGCTCCAATCATGGGCCCACTGTCTGAATTACGGTAGCTTTGAAGGCTCTCCTGTAAAGGTGTTGGCGACTGAGGGTGGGGACAGTGAAGGCTTTGTGCTGGACACCCCTGACAAGACCCTGGAGATGCCTTGGGGATGGACCAGGGCCCATGACCTATTTCAGACCGTTTGTCTCCATCCTCCTCTCTGTTGCAGGCATAGGAAGCGTGAATACATGTTTGAATGAATGAATGAATGAATGAGCGAATGAATGAATGGATGGATGGATAGATAGATGATGGACTGGGGCAGACCATAGGGAGAGTCTGGTGGGATGGAGCCACGGCCTGTAACTGTAGCTAGACCCTCCAGCTGGTATCTTAGAGGGAGAAAAGAAACCCTTCCCATCCCCCACCTCTTTTCAAATCCAACCATCACCAAAAAAAAAAAAAAAAGTCGGGCTTGGAAAATCTAATTCTTCTATGTGAACTAGGAGGGCAGGGGTCTCCATTCGCCCATGAGTCATGCTCAGGGGTCCACGGCTGCATGGAAGGCTCTTTCCACAAGCCCTTACTCCTAGTATGCCTGAAGGGCCCATTTCTAGAAAGATTCTGATGGAGACTGGAAGGGGTGTCCACACGGTCCCCAAATGTTGAATTGAAAAGCTGTCGGTGAGCTCTGGATTGGGAAGCCAATAAGGTGCAGGAGAAGGACACACTGGGTGATCCTTTCTTCTCCTTTTTCCCATTTTTAAAATCTCCCCTGGAGCTCCCCCCACCCCCTGGCCAGGAAGAAATGAGGGACTGTGTCTCGAGCCTCAGTTTCCCCCACTGTCCGCAGAGCAGGGCCCCTTGCATGTGTGGTTGTTTTTCTGGCTGGAGATTCTTGGATTAGGGGCACCTCAGGAGCTTTCCCAGAAGGGTGAAAATAGGAAGCAGGGTGTCCATGACACCTGCCTGTCACCCTCCACTTCCCAGGGGCCCTGGAAACAGGACCTGGGGCTCAGGCAGGGGGCCTGCCCTCATATCCACTCTCCGACACCCAAGGGTCAAGGATGGATCTCTCTCCTGATCCCATCTGTGCTGGGTCTGGCTGGGCTTCACCTGTGAGAGGGGCTGGGGTGTGGGGCAAGCTGGAGGTGAGGGGTTCTTGAGGGCCAGTGGCAAGGAGGGAGGCCGGTGATTGGGGCTCAGCTCTATGACCTCTGGCCAGTGGCTGCCCCTCTCTGGGTCTCAGCCAAAGGGAGGTGGAATGATAAACGGGAAGTCCAGGAGGTGTTCAGGTACCTCCTGCCAACACTGATCTGGTTTAGTTTCCAGGGAGCCAACAGGGTACAGGATGCCTGCTGTTGGTGCTGGCTGAGAGCTGTGGGGTTGGGGGTGTGGTCCTGGCAGGGGGAGAGGGGAGAGAAATCCCTCCTGAATGCTAGGGGATCCCATGGTGATGGGCACCAGGGGAGCTGGAGGGCCAGAGGGGGTGAAGTGGGTCACCATGCCACTGGTACCCCGTGCAGCAAGGGCCACCCAGCATCATCCTTGTCCTAATGATCGCCTCATCTTTAACTGTCATGCCTGGGGGCCGGTTTAGGCCCCCCACTGAAGGGATCGCCACTGAGGTGGGCTGCGAGCACTAGCCCGTTTCACATGGAAGGGAAACTGAGGCTCGGAGGGGCCAGCACTGGGTCTCAAGGACCAACAGGAGCTGGGGCTCCCACTGTCACCCACCTGTCTCCCTCCAGCCCGGGAATACAAAAGTCTGTCTGTGTGATGGAGGAGTGACAGGTTCCCCCAATCCAAGAGTCAGGCCCCTCAGAGATGGTGTTGGGGAGGGAAGGGACTGTGACACGAGGCACCCCGGTGCCTCAGGGCCTGTGCAGTGAGGTCCCATGCCAAGACCAAGGGATGGGCAGGAGGTCCAGCCACGCCTGGGGCTCTGGGAATTTGGCAGGGTCGGGGGAGGATGGGAAAGACACAGTCCTTAGAAAGAGGGCAGGCCCTTGGGCGCTGGCTTGTTTTGTTTTTAAGAGAGAAAGGGATGGAGACAGAGAGATGGAGAAACAGAGATTTAGAGACACAAGAAGAGACGAAGAGAGACTCAGAGCACGAGCGGAGATGGAGAGAGACACCCAGAGACTGAGAGAAACAGGGGCAGAGGGAGGACCACCCCCCACCCCGCCGCACACAGCCAGGGAGAAGCAGGGGGAGGTAGGGAGAGCCACGGAGAAGGGGAGCAGGGAGGCCGCTTCTCCACTCAGACCTGTGCCTCACCAGGAGCTCAGGCCAGGACCTGGGGGGCTCCCACTGGCCAGCATCCCCATGTCCCCCCCAACCAGGCCCCAGCCAGGGGACAGCGGCCTCAGAGGGGGCCCACGGAGGTGCCTGGCATGGCCGTGCTGTCCCTCTCTCCCGAGGGGGGCCGAACATCAATGCCCACCCTGCCCCGGGCAGGCGCCCGTCACAGGGCTCGGCCATCACTGCCGAGCGGCCCCCCGTTTATGGTAATCGTATATGCATTTGCATGTTAATGACAATATTTGTCTTAAAGCGGAGGTTGAGAGGGGGGCCGCTGCAGGTGGGGGGGCCGGGTGGAGGCCTGTGGTTTCCATGGGAGCACCAGCTGCTCGGCTCGGCGGCAGGAGGGGAGGCTGGAGCACGCTGAGCTCTGAGGCATGAGATTCGGAGCAGCGCGCGCCAGCCCCAGGGAGACGGAGGGCTGCCTGGCGGGGGCGCCGAGGGAGGAGTTGGCGAGGTGAGAGCCGCACGTGGGGGCTGCTGGGGCCCTGAGTCCGAGCTAGGCATGCCCCCCTCTGTGCCTCAGTTTCCCCAGCCGCCCATCCTTCCCTGATTTAACAGGCTTTTAGGAGGCCCTCAGGGCCTTTCAGGCTGGGATCGTGGCATCACCTCCGCCCTCCTTCAGGCAGAGAAGGTTGACTGAGCACCTACTGTGTGCGGCGTTTGTGGGGACGTGGGGATCTGCGTGAACGGGAATCAGTGCAGGATTCATGATGGAGTGAACAAGACATGGACCCATCTACCCATATAACCGACATTTCCTGAGCACTTGCTGTGCACCAGGCCCCGTTCTAGACCCAGGAGACAATGTTGGGCGACACCGATAAAAATGCCCCCCAAGATCAGACCTGCCTTCAAATCCCAGTCCAGCAGGAGGACACAGTGAGGCATTGCTGTTAGGGCTGTGATGGTGGAAACACGTGCCTCCAGGGACAGCCCAGAGGAGCCCCAGCCCCGGCCCCTGCAGGTGTGGAGACCAGGAGGGCTTCCTGGAGGAGGTGGTCAGCGTGAAAGAGCAGTTCCGAGCTTGGCATTGAGATGAGTCTGGGGGAGGGGCGGAGGTTTTGCCCTGGTGGGAAAGAAGCAAAGGGTCCTGGGAGCCCCAGCGTCCCCTTCTGACCTGGGACTTATCTCTTCTGAGGGCTCTTCTGAGAGGCTCTGGCCCTGGGGGTGGGCCCAGGAGCTATGTCTGGCACGAGCTCGTGTCTCTCTCTCTCACCCCTGACGCTGGCAGATGAGAACCTGGCCATTAGGAACGCTCAGGAGGACCATACTCACTCAGGTGCCCTTTCATTCATTCATTCATTCATTCATTCATTCAGCCAACACTTCCTGAAAGCCTCTGGGGCCTTGTCTCATCCTGGGTGAGACAAGGATGAAAGCCCTCTGATGGCAAGACAGAGCTGGCCATAAGCACCTAGAGCCAATGGTGAGGGCCGGGTCAGAGGGAGGGATGCAGGGTTGAGGGGACTGGACAGGGAAACAGGCTGCATGGAGGAGTGGCTTTAGAATAGGGGCTTTGAAAGGTCAATAGGAGTTTTCCTGGTGGAAGAAGCATTTCATTTGTTTATTCACAGAAGCACTTACTGTGTCCCAGGCCCAATGATGCGGGTGAAACACAGCAGAGAGTGAGCTAGGCAGTCGTCCCTGTCCTCATGCATGTGGCAGAGGCAGCTGGGTTTACAGGG